GTGTGTGTGTGTGTGTTTGTGTATGTGTCTGACTGTGTGTGTGTGTTTGTGTATGTGTCTGACTGTGTGTGTGTGTGTTTGTGTCTGACTGTGTGTGTGTGTATTTAGAAGGTGGAGCGGGGGGAAGGGTTGGGTGGGGGTGGCGCGCGGAGGAGGAGGGCGCCTGAGTTTTGTCCTGCCTAGGGCAGCACAAAACCAGGATACACCACTGGTGACTAGGACTGTATAAACAAAGTGATTTAACTCCTAAATGGCAGAGAATTGATCAGTGAGACTACAGTGGCATGATCTAAACACCAAAATTGCTTCATTAAGCTAAAGTTGTTTTGTGATTGTAGTGTCCCTTTAAGAAAGCCCTGCGAGCGAATGGATGAGCAGAGTAGGCTCCCAGGTTATCATAGCCTAAAATGGGAGACCCAAATATATACCATGGGCTTACTAGGAGTATTGATATGTATCTCAATATTCTTGATGATATGGATGTGAGGAAGAGGAAAACTGTTTCCACCATGGACCCCCGTATTAAATCTATTTTTTTCATATTGTAAAGGTGGCCATTTGTTCATATTTTGAATTGGTATGTAGCTTGTCTATCAAATTTTGTTTAGTAGGGACAGTTTGGCTCTTGCAATTGATTGCAATTAGTTTTTTTTAGCCGCAAGAATGACGTGTGTTGTTAAAGATCTCTTTGTAAAAGGAGTAGTTTGTTTAGAAGGTAGTAGGTGGGGTGTGATTGGAAGTCCTCAAGTATGGAGCTGGAACTGTTAGGTCCCTGGGGAAAGAAAATAGTCCTAAACTCAGTAATCCTAAACAGCCCTTTAATACAATTTCAACCCTCTCAAACTGTAATATAACTGACATCAACCCCTCTCTAACCCTACACAGCTCCATACACTAACAGATTCAAGCACAATATATTAGAAACAGAGCACAAATATGCACATACACATGTAGTTGTCAAATATGAATGTGTTTTGGATGTTTTTAGGCCTGCAATGTCCTGCTAATAAATTAGTTATACTTTATCTACCTTATATAGGGGTTCAGGAGCAGGGGGCGCCTTAGACTTTTGTGCTTACAGGTACACGACGTGTAAATCATGCCTTGGATGTAGTCGGCAACATCTGGAGTGCCAAATGTTGCTAATCCCTGCCTTAAACTATGTGATCTGCTACCAAATCAGCATTTATAATAATCCCCATGAAGTGTTTTTAATATCTTGATGAATCCATCCTACAAAGGACTTTGTTCTGGAGGCAAACAATGCTTTTATCAGGTATGTAAATACAAAACACCACTGAATGTGACTGTATTCTTTCCAAAGTAGCAGAACTTTATAATTATAGCAACATTTGCCAATACCTTTGAAATTGTCTCTCTAAGACTTGTATTTCTTTTCTGTCATTGATAAATGCCAAGTTAAACTTTTCAATATTGCAGCAAATCATGGTAATTAGCACATTGACATTACAAATTGCACAAGTTTTCATTTTCATTAGTGAGCATGCTTTACAAATGGCAAGATAAAACACATGCTTTCAAGATGTCATGTCTAGATTATATTCCAGATGCCAAATATATTCTGCGGAAAGTGGTAAATGTGTAATAGTTTTTGATAACATTCCTCTAATTCATAAAATAACCTTGTGCTTGTGACCTTAAAAAGTAATCACTATGGTTATAACTGGACACATTGGATTGAATAGTTTGTGTTTCCATATCTGGTGAGTGTCTGGTTGACCTAGAGTCTCCGGGTGTACCAGCTCATTAATGCTGCATGTTTTTCAACAGGTTCTGCACATCCTGTTCAGAAGACTCTCCTCCATAAACACCTATTCCCTGGGTTATTCCCACCTACTCTCCATCCTAATCCCATGCATCATTCTGTGGCGCCATTTACATGCAAGAATGCTATGAGAGAAACTCCAACCCACTCACAATTAAGCAGGTAATACTTCCCATCAGTGGTAGGTGTGGAATCTGATGGGATGAACCAGATCACGTGTGACGCCCAGAAACCACACCCACTGGCGGGCGATATTTTTTTTTTGTCTGGTCACCCCTCTCCACCCAGGATTTAGGACCATTCAGAGAGTACTGCTGATGCAGCATGAGCATATCTAATGATGTGTTTTGAGGGACTTCTTAAACAATTGAAGGAAGATTCTGATGGGGGTGGGCAGGCTGTTCCAAAAGAAGGGAGCCGCCCGCGAGAAGTCCTGCAAGCGCGAGTTAGCAGTAGGGTGCGAGCAGCGGACAGGAGAATGTCACTGGCAGAGCGGAGAGACCGAAAAGGGGTATATCTATGAATAAGGGAAGAAATGTAAGAGGGGCTAGAGTTGGTTAGAGCTTTATAGGTAAGGGTTAGTATTTTGAATTGACACCTATAGGATACAGAAAGCCAGTGTAATAATCGACAGAGGGGCGAGGTATGGGAAGAGCGACGGGTGAGAAAGATCAGCCTTGCGGCAGCATTCATTTCCAATTGTAGCGGGGCAGTTCGGCTTTTGGGGAGACCAAATAGGAGAGAATTACAGTAGTCTATGCGAGAGATTACCAGAGCATGAACAAGCTCCTTGGCAGCATCTTGCGTGAAAAAGGGTGGACGCGGGCGATATTTTTTAAGTGGAATCGACAGGTTTTAGCACCGTACTGGATATGTGGCGCAAAGGTGAGGCCAGTATCCAAGATAACACCAAGACAACGAGCTTGCAAGGATGGACTGAAGCAAGTACCATCAACTTGCAGGGAAAGCGAAGAAGGAGGATCAGCATTATGAGGGGGAAAAATAAGAAGCTCAGTTCTAGAGCTTGAGTTTCAGAAAGTGGGAGGACATCTAATCAGAGATTGAAGAAAGGCAAGCAGTGACACGTTTCAGGACCACGGGGGGAACGATCAGGGGAAGAGAGATATATCTGGGTGTCATCGGCATACAGATGGTAGCGGAACCCAAAGGAGTGAATGAGTTTGCCAAGAGAGGCAGTATAAAGAGAGAACAGAAGAGGACCAAGAACAGATCCTTGCGAGACAAGGTGAGAGGAGGAGGTGTCATTGCAAAAGGAGACACTAAACAAACGTTGGGAGAGATAGGAGGAGAACCACGAGAGGACAGTGTCACAGAGACCGAGGGATTGAAGAGTTTGGAGAAGGAGGATATGATCAACAGTGTCAAAGGCAGCAGAAGAAGACTTAGTATGGAGTAGTGGCCTTTGGATTTAGCTGTGATTAGGTCAATTGTAACTTTAATAAGAGTCTCAGTAGAGTGGAAGTTTTGAGATAAAAGGAAGCAGGGATATGTGACGATAGTTGGAAGGGGAAGACAAGTCTAGGGATGGCTTTTTTAGGGTGGGTACGACAGTAGCATGCATAAGGGGAGCAGGGACGACACCAGATGAAAGAGAGCAGTTTAGGATGTGTGTTAAGGATGATAGAAAACAAGGGGAGAGAGATCTGATAAGGTGGAAAGGTACTGGATCAAGCGGATAGGTGCATGCAAGGCTATCTGCTGAAAGGTCAGTTTGAGGTGGGCGAAAGAGAGTTGAGAGTATTAAAGAGCTGAACGGGAACATCTACAGGTAGCGGGTCGATTTAGTGTGCCAAAGTTAGAGGCGCATCTTCCTTGAGGTGCATCTTTGGAGCGGGGCTGCAGAGTCCAGTGTGGAGGTGAGGATAGCATTATATGAGGAGATAGCCAGAGAGGGACAGGAGAAAGTGTGAATGAATGAGAGTTTGGAATGGA